CTCAACATCTTATCCTTCGCCCTGTACAAGCCACCAGTCCCACCAGCAGCCAATGACCCCTCATCAGCAATACCAAGCACAGGCAAACCATTTCGAGATAAACTCTTCTCCAACTTGATGACCCTGCCACCTGAACCTTAATAAAAACCCAGCTCTAATCACTTATGTGTAGTTCAGTGATATTTTTTCACCGCAGCCTAAAAAGTTGTTTTCAAGTAGCACATGCCACCTTCAGGTCTTAGATTAGTGTAATAGCCCCTTTCTGAATTCTCACCTTATTCTAGCTCATTTTTATCTGCAGGTCAACATTCATATATTAAATCTATTCCAGACACTCTTTCTTAGCCTGGCAGCACCTTTTGAATCTATGGCTTACTCTGAATTATATCCATATCCCATGCAGTACCTTGCACTGCTTTACACCAGCACTTCCTTACCTCACTTCATCTGTCAGCACCTTGCATGAATTAAAAGATGCATATGAGCATTTTAAGATCTGCTGATGCAGCCTCAACCTTTCCACTAAAATTAGCACTTTTTGACCCACCACCTAGAAGTCATATAGAAAATTAATAAACTTATCTAAATTATTTTCTAACTTAAAAGAACTGTGTTTTATCATGGGGGGATAGGGGAAATTAAACTCTCTTTTACTTTTATTTGAGAGGCAGCATCCTACAGAACACTGACATATTGCTCTGCCACTTTCAAACAGGAACATCATTTCAACCTGCTCCATTCTGCTGCTTTTCTTGAAATCAAATAAAATTATTCCAGTAAGAGAGGGAGCATATGCTGTCACAGCGCATCTGAAAATAGTGTGTGCATCGGCCAGCACTGTGACAGCTGAAATGCAGTAGAGGTGTTTCTTTTGAAGACATTTGCCAAGGAACAAGTCTTAAAGCCTCTCCTTGATTTCCTGAAAGAAAATTGCATCAGCAGGCATACTGCTCCTGAAGTTTGCAGTCACAGGCTGGCCTGACTTTTGGAACTATCCAATACTTTACCATAGTTCTGAGTGCAAGTGCCTATGCTTATTAATTGTAGTCAGTCCTGGAAATGCACAGGATGAATTTTCTTGCCAGTAATTCCCCTTCTTCTCCTCCAGTATCCTTGGGGTATCGATGTGTACATTGATATGTATTGTCACTACTTGCTCAGTTTGAGGGTGGCCCCTCTTGTTCCCATACCAAACTCTAATTCTCTATATATTTGAAGAAGCGGGACAAGCTGAGCCTCTAGTAACCAAAACATGTTTAATAATGATGTGGTTTCATCCTGGTTCAATTCTAATATAAAAAATATCCTACATTTGGACTTTATAGATTAGGCAAGAATCTTACAGATTTACATGACTCCATGGCTATTAGTGAAGTTTTGTACTATGCATCTTAGAATCTGCCACTTTGGATGGTTATAAAATGCATATATTATAATTTTTTAAAATGCTGAGTATACATTTCACCCAAAATATAAATTCACTATCATATCTGGTATGAAAATATGTAGATAGCTGCAGAATAAACAAAACATAAAATGAAACCTGAATTAAAGTAAAACTCTCTTGTGGACTAATACATATCTTTTTATTATGATAGGAGAAAAAAAGGTTGACATGATGGTGTTTTAAAATCAGAAACACTGACACTGCATTATAAATTATTCTCTCTCTCTTTGTACTTTATATTCATATAGTCTTAAGCGTTTGTGATTTCTCACCTCCAGGTATCCTTAAGTATGCTTGAGAACCAGAATAAATGCAAACTCAGAAGCCTTCTTGAACTGTAAGATGAAGGCCACTATGAATTTACTAGAAAATTCCATTAAATTCCTCATGCACATTATCTACTGTCATTTCAGCACATTTATGATAAGAATGTGGAACTGCCTGCTTTGAGTAACTCTTCTACCTGCTATCTACTGGCTTGCCTGTCTCTGTTAATAGTGCTTTGGATTTCAGAAGATAATACAGTCTGGAATGAAACTATCTCAGGTTTAAAAAAATTATTCTCAGACATTAATTTTAAATATGAAGTAGAAATAGCTGTGTTTAGCTAAAAATGATTAATGGGATTGGATTTAATGTGCCAATTTAACATATTACAGTGATTTTATAAGCTGTGAATCTTCTTTCCAGAACACCTTGTTTCTATTTCATGATAAAAACATTCCCTCTTTCATTTATCTGGATGTGAACAGTATGTGAAGATAAATTACATGCCACAAGTTTCCACATACCATCACACCCCTCACCTTCTGATACAGAAAGCTCTCTTAGAACTAAATTAACAGAAAGAGCTTAACATGTTAATAAAATAAGGCAGGAACTTGGTTTTATGGGATTATGCTGAGTAGCATAATGAACCAGAGGATCCCAAGTATTTTGTCATGCATTTCATACTCAACAAGATAACCAAACAATCGTTTTCAAAAAAGGAAATCTACTGTTTTTTATTTAGAGTAACCATTTTAAAGCACTTACTTGATTTAGAGTCACAAAACCCTAATAAAACCAGTATGGTTTAACATGAGTTAAACATAATAACCTCTGATTTCAGAGGTTATTATGAACTAAGGGATGTAGATAAGTATCCAGTGGGATCTTCTAAATATCAAACTGTCTGTGTCTTATACCTGTTAATATTTTGTGTCCATGTAGGGCAGGAAAGGAGGGAAAAAGATTAGTAGGTCAGTTATATCTCAAAAATGTCACCCTATCTCAGCATAATTATATTAGCTAAAATAAAAGAATACAACTTGAATGCAGCAATATATTTGACACTAAAATAGAAAAGTAAATTAATCCCTGCAATTAATTACACGCAATCTAGATGTGTGCAAAGGATCAGGATATATGACATGATACAGGTATCTTATCACATCACACACCGTTAGTCCTTTGACTTTATTCCCTAACATGAATCTTTTTCAGGGTAAAGTAAATGTAATCCTGAAGACACTGGAAAATAACAGCTGCAGGTTACACAGGCAACACTCAAACTATACACTCAAGCGTTGTATTTTAAAATCTAAAATAACTCAGTCAACCTGATTAGACTATGCTCCATCATGTGCATAAACCCAGAACATCTAACAGATATTTTTGAGTTAAAAATGCTGTCTCTAATGATTTGACACCGATGTTTCATAAGGCTTCTTGGCTGCCAACAATCACATCCATCTGTTGTGTTGGCAGCATGCTCAATCACAAGGTGTGCTGGATTTCTTCATTTTAGGCACCATTGCCAGAGAAGTACAAAAACCTTTGAACTGAGTGCGAATGAATTCAGAAAGTACCAGTTAAAAGCTATCTGAATGGGACAACAAACTTCGGGAAGAAGATAAAAAACAGAGGAAAGAATTTAATAAATCTAACAATGGTCATATCATTGCTTGAAGTGGGCAAACATTGAAAAGAGTCAATACTATCCAACAGTCATGCTAAATGATACTTCCCAAGAGACACATATTGGAAATAACAGCACTATCTTCTATTTCTTCCACAGAGCTTAAAGACCACTTCTTGACTTCTCTCTCATACATGTGCATATATAACTATACATACATATAATATCAATACACATGTGTGTACTGAACATATACATATGTATAGCATATATATATATTATAGACAAATATATAATTACAAGATGTGCATAAAATATATATACACAGATAAATTTTACTGACAAGCCCTCTGTGGTTCATTAGAACTACAAGAAGCAAAATTTACTTGCTATAAAGTCTTCGGTTTATTCCCAGGGGAGGGAGGGAGGTAGTCACTCAATGCTTCTACATAGCAAAACACATTTTACTGCACAGTTAAGAGGGAAAAAAGCCACACAAAACAGTGTGGTTAATCCATTAAGAGAAGTTCTGTATGTTCTAGAAAAACTCTGCAGCTTCAAACTTTCTTCCTTTTTGAAGGAGAATTAGGAAGAGGTCTTCACTTGGGCAACAGTTTTTCCAGCCATCATTTCCATGCTAGCCACCAGTATATTGTTTCAGAAGTATTTAAGCAGGGAAATCTCACTGGAATTTCTAGTTGGGTTTTTTTTCTCTGCAACTATCAAGAGATCCTTAAATCAATTTATCAGCTATAAAACCTGGTATCAGCACACAAAGTAACTTTCAGATGAATGCATTTCCCTTTATTCCACTACACAAATTCAGCCCTGTTACTCCTCAAGTTCCTAAATTTTAGTTTCCTTTTTATTTCTTCCTCTGCACAGTCTGACCAAAAACGACTAAATTCATAGGAACAAAGCTTAGTATTTTAACATTCACTTCCAGATACTTGGGTTTTGCTTTCCTAGAACTGCGGTGACTATGCATATCAGGAGAGCAGAGGAGCAGTTTAGAACCCCTGCATTTGGTTCAGCTGTCGCCAAGAGCTGAGCCCTGTGGGAAGAATCCTGCTCTGTTGGCAGCATTTCTCTCTAAGTTGTTTGGCCACGGGCTGCATCGAGGAGCATCCTCACTGCCAGCCAGTTACAGTCTCTAGTGAGAATTGATCTGATTTTGGCAAGAATGGGCTTTACACCTTTGCCAAATGTGACCAGAATAGATGAAGACAGTCAGGTCCCTACACAGTCAGTGCCTGAAGTGCCACTCAATAGTACATAACTGCAAACAGAGCAGCAATGGGATATTCAGATACAAGCTTGTCAAGGAGTAGGAGGTTTTTCAGCAATCAAAAGTGCTTCATGATATTGTTTGATGAAACAACTACAACATATAGCATTAGATGTCACAAAGTGACAGCAAAATGTGAGAATGCTGATCAAACAAAAAAAAATAAAGGTCCGTACTAGAATGGAATATTTTAGCTGAAGTAGTGAAACAGTAATAACTATTTCATTTTTAATACTATTTTTGTAGGAGTGATTCTTTGAGGTTTCAATCAATAACTGCTACTTTGTAATTTCTACTTATTTGAGGAGTGTGCCACAGAATCTTCACACAAGAAGCTCAGTGTATGAAAGCCTCAGTTTACTCACCACAGAACAGCTCCATCTATAATTCTGCTGGCTTGTTGATCACCATCTTTGTGAACTTCAAATTATATGGCTCTCTTCTTAGTCTGGAGGAAGATAAAACAATTCACCTTTTGTAAACACATCTGTGAATTTTGCACACAAAAATACAAATACAGTCTGCAAGTACTTTAAGAAACAATATAGTGAATCAAAATTAAATTCAGAGCCTGACTCCATCACTTTGACTACTGAAGTAGTGTTTTCCAGCAACAAGATTGTTTTACAAATATTTTACATTAATGCCAGTATAAAATTATGTCAGTGTATGGCTGTACAGTAAGAATCTGTAACTCAGAAAACTTAACTATGTTCTTTTGTGGTGTGATAGGGAGCAATGAAGATTGATAGTAACTGAGTGACATTCAATTTCCTCAGATTTTAGACCTTTCACCTGTCACATGCAGGAACACCAAGTTCTTTTCATGTTTTATTTTCTTAAAAATTGTTTTTATTTCCTTAAATATGTAAGATTAATCTTCCACAAACATTTATATAAATTTTAATTATCAAGTTGAATTCATTTATCAGATTTTTATAATAATGAAAAATGGCAAATACATATATATAAAATACAATAATTTGTAAACTGAAATTTTTTTATTTTATTTTATTTTATTTTAGCTGCTTTCACTTGTGGGAGATGAGCCTATATCTGAATCACAGATTGGCAGTTATATCCAAAGAATCTCACGTGGAAAAACTGATAAACTTGAAACTGGTAGTTGAACAGCTCTAAGGAGGATAATGCTTTTGGCTTCAGATCTTAAAACAGTCAACATTACAGTACAGGTTAAAAGTATTATAATATGCACTAGCAGATTTTCAAGGCTTTCATCACAGAAATGGGAAAGAAAGCAGTCTTGTACGTCAGTCAGAGCATTACATCCCACAGTTTATTATTTGCCTGTGTAAAATTTTAGCCTAAATTAGCTAAACAGAATAAAATACCTTTATGACCTCTCCTGGAGTCTTCTACTGTTGACACAATATTTTGTATTTTAACAGTTAGAAAGTCAGCATTTACCATACAGAACAGACTTTTAAATACACTTACACTGAGACAAAAGATAAAATAACTTAAAGGCCTAGTTCTCTTCTGCATTATAAATCTGCTTAGCTCCATTGGCAATTCATCAATTGATAGTGATTGATCAGGTTCAAGATGATTTCAACTGTTCAGATGGGCAGACAATACAAGAGTCAGGAGTATGACATAATGTATGTCAGACAAATAAACCTACCAAAGTTTGGCATTTTTAAAAGACTCTCCTGAAGACAATCATAATGAAATACATCCAGTGCTTCTGAAGGGTCCAGATTTCTGCAACACTCATGCTAACTGCAAGCCTCTGTACTCTTTTTGTCTCAAGAATATAGATGCTGCCCACCACTCCAGCAAGCTAGTACAAGGTATGCCTAAGCAAAGACAGGCCAGAGCCAAAATGATAACTTCTTTGTTATTACATGAACATGAGTTCATTGAGAAGTAAAAATATCTCTTCCAGTTTTTCTTCCAATAGATCATTCAAAAGTCACCCGTATCATTATCAAACACATGAAGTCACATTCATCTGTAGTGACACTCGTGGAGCTCTTGATACAAGTTCTGGCTCTGAGAGAACGGCATAATTTTATATCCATATAAATCAGGGAAGTACTTCTCCCAGGGCTTTTCATACTATTCCTGCTACACCTCAGGCAAATTACATTCTTTTCAAGAGTAGTTCATAGAACAATTTTTCCAGAAAGCAATCAATAAAATCTCCCCTCATGCCCTTCCATCTCTTTCTGCTTTCCTGAGAAATAAAGCCACCAGCTGTGCTGGCATCTTTGATAGATGACTGGAGTGAATTTTTCTGGACATACTCCCTCTCTCTTAAGCATATAAGTTGCAAAACTGTTGTTCTGCTGACCTTACACCATTGAGGTGGGTTCAACCATTCAGTAATCCTGGAGACACACTGACTGATTTCAATCTTGCAATGAAAGGAAACCAGCCCAGCTGGAAACCTAAAAATGTATGACAAAAGTCACACTGACTGCTCAGAAAGAGCGAAAAAATTTCACCAAAGTTAAGCAGTGTTTTCTCTAAATGAATAATAAAAACTGCATTATTGCTACGCAACAAACAGAGATGCAACAAAGCCTCTTCAGGCTTTAGGAGACTATATATATTTTTCTTCCTGAATTTACTAATTATATTATATATTTTTAAAATACTCTATATTCCCATCAAATTATTAACCTATCAATTATTTTAAAATAAGGCATAGATACACGTGCAATAATTTCCTCAGGGGTATGTCATATTATATAATTCACCTATTTCTAATCATAAGCAGTAATAAAGACTTGTAATGACAAGTAGTATTTTATCACTGGTTATGGTTAACATACAATTTTGTGCTAAAGTAAGGATACATTTCATTTTTCTCCTACTCCTTAACATAAAATGGCAATGATCTTAATTTAACTTAGAAGTAAAACAAGAGCTAATTCAGCTACAAGGAAAGTAAGTCTAGTTATGTAAGCCTTGGGATGAAACTTCACTGCAAATGAAACATTTGAAATGAAAATCAGCCTGTTACACTTGCCTTTTTACTGGGCCTAGAAGCAATACAGTTACAGCTCATCCATTCAATCACTTCTGATTTCCAGAGCTTTTTTTCCAGAGGGATGTTTAAATGAGATACCTAAATGTATTTTATGCCAAACAGTCCAAGTATTAACAGAACTGACTTTGGGTCTTATACCTAAGAATAATTACAGAAATCATTTCATCTGTCATGTGAAGAACCCAGAATAAAATAAGCTGCCACAAAGCATTGTGTCATGTCACCATACACATGCACACACACACATTTTATACATGGAATATTGCAGTTGTTCGCTTTCCCTCCTACAGGGACACAGTCTAAGGTGGCAGCTTTCCTTGGGGAATATGCTATCATTAGATTTCCCATTAGGGCCTTTTCCGTGGAGAAAGGTTTTTCCTGTATCACAGGTTAAATCATGCTAATTTCAAACTAGAGGAAGTCACATCAAATTGATTTTTAGAAGCTGAAGAGAGATAAGGTGGATGGTGTGAGAGGAAGCAGCAATGAGCGTTTTCAAAATCGTGCTTGCATATTCTGTGTTTCAGAAGCCCTTGAGATTTGCACTGCTCTGTTTACCTCAGGTCTACTAATTCCCACTCTCATACCCACTGGCAGAACATCACCAACAGCACTAGATTTCTGTGTTCTAAGAAGAGTTATGGCTCCTTTTTGAACTTATGCAGCTTAATGTCACTGTTTCCTAGAATTAATCCAAAAGTATAAATATCAGACAGCTGTTATATCTTTGTGTCTGACAGACAGTAATTTCTCCAAACTGAACTGAGAAAGCATAACTAATACAAATAGTAATAAGGTATCTCTGACAACAGGAAGAGTCATCCTAAGAGTCCCATTTCACCTACAGGAAAATGAAAACCTCATTAGATATCAGAAGACCGTCTGAAGGAAGATTTGGGACCTTCATTCAAGAAAAGACAAAACTGGATTTAGGAAGTGTCAGATTCTGAGGTGTGAAGCAGTCAGGGATGCTGTCATCGCTGGGAAGATGCAGAGTGAGCTACTCCTGCTTGTCATGGATAGACTACTGTACATTCCAAGGAAAGCAAGTGGTGGGGGCAAGCAAGAGAAGAATGGGGGCCTTCTGAAAGTCTGCGAGATTTTTAGAATTTGCTGTCTCAGATAGGATGGCTATACTCATACAAAGAATTGAAAAAATCAGTCTTATTAAAGTATTTCTGCATAGTTTAAAATTACCCTCTTTTAACCTAGTTTATATAAATACATGCATTTGTGTGTAGATATACATATCGATTATACACTGGATCTCATCTTACAGCTTGAAAAGCTACTGTGTGAACTGTGTTCATCAGAAAACTGCAGGCTAGCTATTAGGCAACCATCTATTGCTGTTTAACTAATGAAGATTTATGCAAGCCAAAAAAGTTCAAAACCCACCTTCGTAATTCTTCAGGAAGAAAATACATAGCGTTTTTTTTTTTTTGTTGTTGTTGTTCTTGCTTTTAATAAAATTCAAAAGCTACAAATAGGAAAAATGACAAATTAAGGAAAAAAAAAAAAGAAGTGTAAAATTCGTCTTCCACCTACTAAAGCACACAATGTACCACCTTCCACAGTATCCAAGATGGGAAAAGGTTATTTCTCAAGCATCCAAACATATTTAACCATTAATCTCTCTCTCTACCTCTCCAAAACAATTCCCAAGTAATTACATTTTTTTCCATTTTTTTGAAAAGTCATTCCTCCCTTTCCTTAGGAAAGATGGAAAATTCATATTACCTATTACCACTAACGAGCATGCCTTGCTTTAGAGTTGGGATCATAGGTCTTCTTCTCCTGTTAGCTGTTAGTTTAACAACCCTACAGCCAAGAAAAAAATTTCACAAACTCTACAAACTCCACTACATTACACAGAGAAGTGGAAAACCATGAGAATTATGTTGGGTGAGAGCAATAGTCATGCATTTATATTCAGGACAACATGGTCCTGTGACTACAATGGGAATACTGATTAACATGTCAGGATGTATACTTGGTCCCAATAAACGAATCCCTGAGGAATTTCTGGAATTTCCAAGTTCACCAGTATATATATATATATATATATATACCTGAAGACTTTGCTTTAACTCCACAGGTAAATTTAATCTCCTCTAACATCAGGCAGGGATCAGGCAGCTTTCCTCCCCAGCTTGGAAGGTTCTCATCACAGTCAGTGGTGAGAACTTCCTCTGGGCAATGACACAGTCTGCTTGTGACAGGCACCTTAGACTGGTGGAGTAACACCTAAAGCAACTCAAAACCTCACAGGTTCTCCTAAGCACTTAGTTCTGACTAGATGTCACTGTAAATCAAAACTGTTCAAAATGTTCTCCAGACTCTCCTCTTCCAGTAGCAAACAATGATCAGTTTCTGGAGCATTACTTCAGGTGTTCACTGCCACCTATTTAAAGAAATTCAGCATCCTT